TCTCCATTGAGTAGGACGGACTTTATGGGGTTAAGCAAGCACCTTCTGAGTTTGTTGAGTGTTTTTTATCGTAAAAGCATATTGACATTTGTCACATGCTTTTCTGTGTCCACTGAGATGACCACGTGGTCTTTGTCCTATATTCCATTATTATACTGTATTGTATGGATTGACTTTTGTGTGTGTACCAACCTCACATTTTTGGGATAAATCCCATCGGGTCAAGACGTACAGTCCTTCCTGTACACTGCCAGAGTCTGTCTGCTAGTGATGCCTTGAGGGTTTCTGTGCTCAGAGTCATAAGAGATACTGACCTTTTTTTTTTTTCCTTGTGATGACTCTGGTTTTTAGTATCAGGAAAGTGCTTGTTTTATGAAGTAAGTTGGGAAAAGCAAGTGTTCTGTTTTCTATTTTTTTGAAAAGTTTGTGAAGGATTGGCACCCGTTCTTTATTAATAAAACATGTTACATTGAAGTGTGACATACAACATTGTGTAAACTCAAGGTGCACATGTTAACTGCAGACATTTATCTGTGGCGATCTGACCGCCATCGCAGCGATGACCGGCAGCCTGTCAGGTGACACAGTTGTTGCTTCTGGTGGCTGCAATAGTTAGGTTTAGGCTCTGGGCAAGTTGGATGACTGTGACACCATATTGTTGTCTGTGTTTACTGTCACGTACACGATCTCTCCCGGGCTTATTAGCTGCTCATTGCAAGTCTAGCAATTCTTTGAATGTTGGTGGAATTACCCAGGGAGGCCATCTGGGGCTGGGTTTTCCTTTGTGGGAAATATTTAAATTACAAACGCAGTCTCTTAGTATAAGTCTGTTCAGTTTTCCAGTGGCTGAGTTAGTTTTTATAGTTTTTTTTTAATTTGTCAATTAAGCCTACATTATCTAACGTGTGGGGCTACAGTTGTTCTTAGTGCTCCCTGTGTTTCTGTTTCCGTTTCCTCGAGGTCGGCCGCGACGGCCCCTCTTTCGTGGTTGACTTTAGTGACTGAGGCTCCCCTCTCTCCCTTTTCTTGTGGTCATTCCAGCTACTGTTGCTCAAGTTCAGTATTTGTTTTCAAAGAACCAACACTGGTGTTGTTGATTTTGCCTGCTGCTTTTCTACTCGGACTGGACGCAGAGGACACACCCGAGTACTTCATCTGTCCCCTGGAAACAGGGGCTCGAGGGCTCGGGACCCCCACAGGCGGCACGTTTCCTCCTAACAGCAGGAGGGGCTCAGTCCAGCCGGCCCTTGCTCTTCCTGGTTCTCAGGAGCCGTTGCCTGACCCAGGCTCCCAGGGGTCAATTCGAGACCCATTGTCCTGGGTCCCGGCAGCTTTCCCGTCAGGGGCGTCCTGCTGTTGCTGCCTCTGGTCCCGCCTTTTTCCACCGGAGATTAATCCTTGTTTCTGGGAAGCACTTTGAAAGGATCTGCAGCCAGATCCTTCTCAGATTTCCCGTGTTTACTGTCCACAGCAAGGGCACAGGGCTGCCTGCTCCACACAGCGAGTACACCTGTTTGTTCTGTTCTGCCCTGCCGCCTGGGCTGCAGGCGGGCCCCTGCGTCCAGCCACCTTGGGATGGTCCTGGTGTCTGGGGCTACCCGGCCCAGGACACAGCCCCTTCCCCTCGTTTTTCCCTTGGTGCCTGATCAGGGAACGCCCCCTGCTGCTGCTTTGGAAGGTGACTTTTGGGAGTTTCCAGGGTCCTGACTGAGGGAGAGACCCTGTCCGTGCTGCGAGCCTTTCCCCGCTCTAGTGCATTTCTGCAGCTGTGATGGCCTTTGGCCAGGACCCTCCAGGGTCCCCTGGCTGCAGCCCCTTGAGCTGCCTGCCTCGGAGGCTCGCCTGGCCCTCCCTGAGCATTTGAACGTGCAGAAGAAGGGAACTGGGGAGTGCTTTGCTGCTGCTGCCTGCCCAGGAGGGTGGGGTATCTGGGGTCTGCGGTCATGGGCGCCCCAGGGCCCTGCCTCCTGCGGATCTGCTGTGACTTCCTCTTCAGCCAGGCAGGCCTCCCTCCCTGCCCCCCCCCCCACTGTGGCCTTTCCAGCTCCCTCTTCCCTCCGTGCATTGCCCTTCCGCTGGGTTCCCCAGGGAGGTGGTTCTGGGTTATCTCCTGCTGCCCGCGCCTCACCACCCACAGTTCCCCGCGGTTTTATCGGGGTCTGCAGTCAGCTCCAACAGCAGCCTGCATGGCAGGTGTGTGTGTAGGTTCAGGGTCAGTGTGGGAGCCCCAGGGGGCAGGATGGCTCCTGCGCTGGCACCGGGCCCTCTGTCCCCTTATCTCGAGTCACACAGGCGTGAGGTCACGGTGACAGTTATGGGAGGCCCTCTCCTGCTCCCTCGGGTGTGACCCAGACTGAGAGGAAGCTGCTGGCTGCATGGCCACCAGCGGTCCTGCCCTAACGATTGGTCCCAGGCCCTCGAGGCGACCTTGCCGTGGGCCCTGGTGTGCAAGCCTTCCCAGGGCAGCCTTGTCAGGACAGTACTGGGCACTCACAGCACCTGGGGGCGGGGGGGGGGGGCAGTGCTGGCTGGGCTGGGGGGGCGCACAGGAGCTCGGGGCCCCAGGCAGCTTCTGTGAGAGAGGCGAGTGGCTGCCGGGGGCCTGAGCCCTCGGCACTCGGTGCCTCTCTGGGCATGTGGAGTCCAGTGAGCGCAGGGACCCCGGAGGACGGTCTCTCCCATGAAAGTGGGGTGTGTGGAGGCCCCATGGCCGTTGTGGGGCTCTCACCACTGTCTCCAGCAGGTTATCGTCATCACCATGGCCGCCGCGAGCTGCCACTGTGCGGGCTGGGGGTCATCCTGTGTCCTCCAGGGGCACCAGGGCCTGGACCACAGCAAGGGCCCAGCTCTCTTGCTTTGCTGGGAAAGCTCTGCCTGAACTGACAGGGGCTGGCCACACGGGGGTGCTGGCGGGCCGCCTGGTCTGGAGCCCAGAGGTTGTATAACCCGGCCATCAGTGGGGTGCTGCCCAGAAACACCAGTGCGACGGGGCTCTCCCCTACCCCCTCAGTCTGCAGGGTCACAGGGTGCCCTGGGGCCCAGGGCCCATCTGTGCTTCTCTGAGCAGCCAGGGTGTGTGCATGAGGATCACCTCAAGGGCTGTGTAAATCCTGGGACAGCATGACCCCCACGGGGCCCCTGGGCAGGGTGGGCGCCATCCCCCTGGGGCTCAGGGTCACACAGCGGGCACCTCCCACCCCCGACCTGCATAGCAGCACCTGTGCGTCCCTCCCAGGGGCTGTGGAGGGGAAGGGCGGGCGCTCTAATCCGGGAAAGAGACCCAGGGGCCCTGGGGGGACTGGGAGTGCCACGCCGGGGGGGGTGGGGACTCGGCCCGTGACGCTGAGCGGTTACCTGCAGGAACTCCGGCTTCCTCCGAAGCGCCTCGGTGCAGAGCAGGCGGAGGCCCACAGTTCACATCCGGCTCCCTCAGGCTGACCTCGAGCCGCTCACCCAGGTCACGTCCCTCCCCTCACGCTGACCTTGGCCTCTCCCCCTCTCGCCCTAGACTTTGACCCTCACCACTTCTGGCACTGGAGCAGCTTTGCCGACTACCTGCAGTGCGTGCTGGCCTTCGCGGGCGTCGCCGGCTACATCACGTACCTGTCCATCGACTCGGCGCTGTTTGTGGAGACCCTGGGCTTCCTGGCCGTGCTGACGGAGGCCATGCTGGGCCTGCCGCAGCTGTACCGCAACCACCGCCACCGGTCCACGGAGGGCATGAGGTGGGTGGGCGCACGGCGCGGCGGCTGTCCTCGTCGGCAGCAGGTGCACGCGCATTGGGTGAAAGTCAAATGGGCACAAAGCTGGCTGCTTTACTTCCGGTTACACCTGTGAAACAGCCGGTCAGAGAGCAGTGCAGGTGTGAGCACATGGGTCCACCGGCCTTGCGACGCGTGAGCCTTGTGTGTGTGTGACAGGTGGGGAGAGGCTGAGACCCTCTCGGGAGCAGGCGACAGGTCACGGGATCGGAGAGCTGCTCCTTCCGGTCCACGGAGCCTGAGGCATGTGAGTGGGGGGAGCAGGCGGTGCCCGCAGCAGCAGGGCCGCAGCTCCGGGCCCCTGTGTGACCGGGCGCTCTCTCAGGACACAACCCAGGACGTGTCGGACTAAATCCACACTGAAGTATCTCATTTGCTTGTGAGCACCTGTAATCGGTGTTGCATCTGAAGCTACAGTTCCACGTGCTGCTTGCTAGCGCCCAGGAGCACAGTGCACTGTGCGCGGACCCCACGGCCAGGCGCCCGTTGTGCTTTGAGGGAGGAAGAGTCCGTCCTCCGGGCGGCCGGAGTCTGCGTCACCCGCGGTTTTGACTGACCCTCTGTCTCTGTGCGGACACTTGTCTGCGGTGCAGCGCAGGCATCTGCAGCTGTCTCGCAGGCTGGCCCTTTGACCTTCCTCTTACTGATTTTTGGATCGATAGGCATTTTATTCTTGTAACTATGTTCCTCTGCTTTCCTTTTTCTTTCCTGCTTCTTCCTCTCCTTAAAGGAGGCCCTTTAACATTTCTCGTAAGACTGGTTTGGTGGTCACAGACTCCTCTGGCTTTTTCTTCTCTGGGAAAGTCCTCTTACTAGTGTTTGACAGAATGTCCATGACCTGGATGTGCCCTTGCCTGGGTGCTCAGACGTTTTACTTTGGTGTCTCAGCTGCTTGCCTGAAGGCCCTGAGGGCAGGGTTGCGCCCTGTTCCACTGTCTCCCTATCACCTGACACAGTGTTTGGAAGATTATAGCAGCTCGGAAAGTATTTACTGAATGAACGAATGAAGAAATGCAGTACTTGGGTCTCTAAACCACCGGCATCGCCTTTGGAAGCTCCGAGAACAGCTGGGGACACTTATGGATGTGGAGGGTCGTCCAGTGCAGGCACCTGGCCGATCGTCCTAATTCTTTTTTTTTTTTTAAGGATTTTATTTATTTATATTTAGAGAGGGGAAGGAAGGGAGAGAGGGAGAGAAACATCAGTGTGTGGTTGCCTCTTGCACGCCCCCTACTGGGGACCTGGCCCACAGCTCAGGCACATGCCCTGATGGGGAGCTGAACTGGTGACCCTTTGGTTCGCAGGCTGGCACTCAGTCCACTGAGCCGCACCAGCCAGGGTGATCATCCTAATTCTTGAAGAACTGGTAGCAGGGGGAGTGTTGGAGGGAGACGCCACCCAGGCCGGCCTGCCGGAGTCTAAGCTGCTCTGCCGGAGCCCCAGGTGGGCTGGCATGTCCCCAGTCCCACTTGCAGTTCACCCAGCTCCCGTTCTCTGAGGCCGTGGCTGCGACCGATTTGTGCAGAAGGCAAGTGTTTGGCTCTGAGAAGAGGAAGGCCACAGTCGCCTGCAGGTCAGGGGACCGCGCATGTCCCCTGGAACCCTGACTTTAGGGTGTACAGGACGTGTGGTCCTCAGCCGCTGGGGGCCCAGGCCCTCTCCCCACAGGCTCCCCCACCCGCCCCGCTCACCTTCTCCCAGGGGGTGCTGAGGGCAAGGGATGCAGGAGGAGGGCGCTTGACAGAAGGCCCAGGTGAGGAGGAGACTCTGGTTACCTTGATGGGGCTTGGCCGGTGCGGGCGAGTCTGTGCGAGGACCCGGGAGGGGGCCCTGCACAGAAGGCCGTGGTGGGCGGGCCCGTGCCTCGGAGCAGGGCCGGCCCGTCAGGGACGGGGCCCCCGAGTCTGCCAGGTGCAGGGCGGGCCCGTCGAGACCCACATCACCTCGCTGGGACACTCACGCTGGGCAGGGTCGGGGTGGGGGGGGCGACTCCATCAGGCGCTGTTCAACGTGGCTGTCGCGTTGAATGAGCCACAGGACGCCTGCCGGGCAGAGCCGCCCCTTGAAGGGACTTGGGCTGGGCTTGTGCAGCGCGTCTGCAGGGCCAGGCCATGGGGGACCCAGGGCCTTGAGCCCTTGGCCTATGGCCCTGGCCTCTGCCCGAGTGGGGCCTGGCGGTGCTGCCCCACGCCGCAGCTCCTGGAGAGGTGAGGCGAGGTGAGGTGCAGGAGGCGGTCTGCGGGGCTGTGGAGGGTCACAGGTTTTCTGTTACGGGCGGGCACGGTCCCTTTTCCTTCCTGGACTCTGCGCGCGCCAGAGCTGACACCGGAAGGTGTCCTCTCCCTGCGTCTGTTTAGAAGAAAACATCCTCCTTCTCGGGCGAGTGCAGACTGGACTCGGGTTTGGAGGGCAGGGCCTGGTGGAGCCCGGTCACAGCTTGGTGTCCTCTGCAAACGTGTGCATTTCAAAGACGTCCGAGTGGGAGACACTCACACGGCGCGTCCGTCCGGTGTGGACTAAATTTTGAACACAGGCGCAGAGGAACCAGCCCGGCTTCGCCCCGGGTGGGGGGGACGGGACGGGGGTTTGGCCGTCTCCACCGGCTTCTCCCAGCCCAGCTCGCCGCGCCGGCCCTTCGCCATCTCCCACGCGGAGCACGCGGCCCCGTCTCCCCTCGGGTGTCTGCCCCATCCCCCTTCCGGCCTGGCTGCCATTCTGTCTCCCTCCCCCGGGGCCTCCGCTCGCTCCCCGGCGCCGCAGCGCCCCCAGCGGCCAGCACAGCTGGGCAGCCGGAGGCCGGGGAACCCGCGCCCGACCCCAGAGCGTCCGGCAGAGCGCGTGCGCTTCCCGGAGAACGATCTCCCGTTCGCGGCGATGTGTGGACGGTGTGCACGCGACCCGGGCACCTACGCCCGTGTGCAAACACACCGACAGAAGGTCACACGTACCTGAACGCAGGCTGCGTGCTCTCTCCTCGTCCTTGGGAACCACCGGCACCTGAGCCGCGGAGATGCGCATGCGCCCTCCCTCCCCTGGGACGCGGGGCCGGGCCGCGCCGGGTGGGAGGGGCCCCGGGACGCCCCCCCCCCGCCCCCCGAGGTCCGCACGCTCCGCCAGCCGCCTGGCACACCTGCCCCTCACGGGACGTCGGGAGCACCCGCACGTGTGTGCCTCTGCACACCGGCCCCGTGCACTCAGGTGCTCACTAATGTGCACACACGCCCCACACTTGGGCACACGCACACAGGCTTTTTTCTGCCTTGGAGCAACTGCCAGAGATATTTTAAATGATTTTCCTTAAAAAAAAAAAAGTAAAGTGATTGTTGCTTCTGAACCAGTAAAGCAGTGACGAAGCTTTTGAAGTAACTTTACTAATTCACACAGGAAACCCTGAGAGGCAGAGTCTGGTGGGCCCTTTGCCCCTGCTTTCCTCCACGTTTCGTAGATTTAAGACTGTGCCCCAGCACGCGATTACGGGGGAGCCCGAGGCGGTGGGAGGGCAGAGGGGCCGCAGCTTCGGACAAGCGGGGGGAGTGAGTGCCGGAGGCGCTGGGATCGCGGGAGAGCGCCGCTCAGCGGCCCGGACTGGAGTGGCAGGCGCCCGCGCAGGCCCCGGAGGCGGTGACGGGCAGGGAGGCTGCCCCCTGTGGTGTGCGTGGCTCGTGTCCCGGCTGCTGTGGGTTGCGGACGAGGTGCAAGCCTCCCCCCCACCCCGTGAACCCCGCTCTCTGGGCCGCCCTGCCCCTCCCAGCCAGACACTCGGTGGCCGTGCCCCGTGGCGTCTTGGGAGGGGGGACGGGTCTCGCGCCCTGGCCACCTCACCGCCGTGCCCCCAGGGCCTGTCTTTGTGCCTTTTTGACACAAAACAGGCCAGGGAAGGGTGAGTGGGGCGTGCTGCGCACGTGCGTGGTTACAGGCACGCGTGGGCACGGGCACACTCACTACACGCACACACGCGCCCGGAGTGTGCAGCCCAGCAAAGAGGGGCCGGAACTCTCTGGAAAGTGCCTTGACTGGGGCGCCACCCACCAGGCACTCACGCACTGAAGAGTGCAGTCGGACGGATCTCACTGTCTCCGGGGTCGCGCAGCCGCCACCGCAGTCTAATTTAGGGCGTTGCCATCGCCCCGAAAGGAAGTCTGCACCCTGGGGGACCACGCCTCCTGTGCCCCCAAACCCTCCCCCGCTGGGCCCCCGGGTCCAGGTGCTGCCGTGTGGGTCTGTCTGCACCCGGCCCCTCGCACGAGTGGCCTGCAGCACTCGGCCTTTTCCCTTCGCGCTTCCCTGACGACGGGTGACGCTGCGGCCTTGTCATGCGATCATTGGCCAGTTGCACATCTTCTTTGGAGAAAGGCCTACGCAGGTCCTTGGCCTGTGTTCAAGTTTGTTTTTGTCTTTTTGCGACCGAGTCGCAGAGTTCCCTACGTTGTCTGGGTGCCAGGACCCCGTCAGATTCGTGATTTGCCCACCCTCTCTGCCCTGCTGGAGACGGTCTTCCCGGCAGGAACGGTTTTACTTTGGATGACGTCACAAATATATGTTGTTGCTGATGCTTTTGGTGTCGCACCCGGGGCCCCCAGGCTGAGACCTCCTCCGGGACACCTGTGGGCCGGGCTCGAATTGCTGAGAGCTCCTCCGGGGTGGGGAGGAGGGCCGGGTCTGGGCCGTGTGGGCGTGAGCCCCTGCGGAGAAGCTGGGGGGTGTCATCTCCTGGGCCCCGGGCTGGGGGGGCTTGCCTGGCTGCCGGGCAGGCTGGGGGTGAGGTGAGAGGTATTTTGGGAATAGTGATCTGGCAGCCCAGTTGGGGAGGCAAAACGTGGAGCCAAGAATGAGGTCACTGGGGTCAGGATTAAAATGGTGGGCGGGGTGGGGGGAGGGTCAGGTGCAGGACACGGCAGCTGGAGCTGGGGGCCCAGCTCCCAGGCACCAGCCTGGACCGGGAGAGCAAAGCCTGGGCCCTGGGCGGTGACGGTGCCCCTCCCCCTCAAACTGCCTGCCTGCAAGGATCTCTTTGCTCAGGGCAGGCATCCAGGGTGGGCTCCGGGCCCTGTCGGAGCCTATGCCGGCTGAGCTTCCCCAGAAGGCGGGACTCCCGCCCCCAGGACGAGGGCAGACCTGGCCACTCCGCACTTGGTGTTTGCTCCGACCTCCTGGCGCGCTGCACCCGGGAGCAGGGCCTCTGAGGCTGTCTGCGTGCCCGCGCTGTGGGAGGGCAGGGGTTGCGGAGCCCCCGTGTCGGGAGGGGCGGAGCTCCTGGCTTGCTGAGAGTCCCCCTTCGAGGCTCTATGACTGGCTGCTGGGCCCCGTCCTCCCTGAGCCCCATGTAGGTGGCCGTTGTGGGGCTGTGGCAAGGCAGCCGCATCCCTGTCCCCATGCAGCGGCCGAGGGCCCAGGCAGGTGAGGCATCCGGGTAGCTAAAAGTGTCCCCGAGCGTCAGGCAGAGTCCAGCTCCAGAGATGACCTCGTGTCTTCGCTGGCCGGGTGATGAGTGCACCTGTGCCTCAGGGCCCCGCCTGGCCCCGGGCAGGCAGCCCCAGCACAGCGACAGGTGGCCCCGGCCCCCCGCCCTGCTTTGGGCTGTGCAGCCTCTGTCTCCCTGCCCCCTGGCCAGCATCTGCTGTGTGCCCTGGGGTGCGTCGCTAAACCAGCCTGTGCCTCAGTTTCCCCTCTGTGAGGCGGGAGCCACGTAGCCCACCCAGTCTCGTTTCAGGGTGGCAGGTGGCACGCATGCATGAGGGTGCCATGGGGGGGCTGCCTTCTGCACGGGTTTCTCAGTGTCCAGCAAACCAGACCCCGAGGCCGCACCTGTCAGCTCCGGCACAGCTCACAGCATGTCCCCCTTACGGCCCCCGACTGTCCGACCAGGGCTGCGGCCTGGGCCCTTGGGAGCCGAGAGTCCAGCACCTGCTTGTGTTCGAGCTGGTGGGACGAGCTCCCCTACCCCTGCCCCGGGGGCCCCAGCAGCCGAGTGGCCCCACTGCCCCTGGGCTCCCCGGGGCCGTGCACGTGTGACTGCCGTGTGAGCCCGGCCTCGGGGAGGAGTCACGAGCCAGCGTCGGCTGGAGACCTCGGGAGAGAGAACGCAGACCCGTCTTCGTGTTGGCCTTTCCAGAACAAACTCCCCAGGGAACCACCTGTGTGGCTGGTGTGGGTGGCCCCCTGGCGGGCCGCGAAGTGCGTCCGTCTGGTCGCGTGTCTGGGCAGCCACGGGGAGCGTTTCCAGGGAGGAGAGCCCCGAAATGGTGGCTCCGGGTGGGCTCCTCCTGGGGTGTGTGACGCGGCTTTGGGGTCATTCCAGGCACTTCTGTGGCTTCTGTGGACCTGGTGCAGGCGGGGGGGCTCTGTGGGCTGGAGGCGAGGGGCGTGGGCTGAGAGGGCCACTGTCCCCCAGCCAAGCTCCTCCTGCAGCCCACGGGGCACAGCCAGGCCAGGCCAGCACCTCGGAGGCCGGTCCCAGGGGTCCCTGTGGCCAGTGCCAGTCTCCCGAGGTGGGAGTTCTCCGGCGCTGCTGCCCCCAGAGCCAGCAGAGGCCCTCCCTCCCGTGCCCCCCAAGGAGCCCACACCCGGTGCCGCTGCGAGGTGGTGGGTCTGCCCCCCCGCGTGGGCCCAGTCTCTGCCCGGGAGGCCGAGGGCCCCCCAGCCGAGGGGCCTTCCTGTCCCTGGCGTTGCCAGGCAGTGACCTCGCCTCGAGCACAGGAGGGCGGGAAGGAGGGGCTGGCCTGGCTGCCCCCTGACCCCGGCTGCCCCCTGACCCCGGCCCGTGCCTCCGCAGCATCAAGATGGTGCTCATGTGGACGAGCGGCGACACCTTCAAGACGGCGTACTTCCTGCTGAACGGCGCCCCGCTGCAGTTCTCCGTGTGCGGCCTGCTGCAGGTGCTGGTGGACCTGGCCATCCTCGCGCAGGCCTACGCCTTCGCCCGCCGCCCCTCCAAGCCCAGCCCCCACACGGTGCACCCCACCAGTGCCAAGGCCCTCTGAGGGGCCCGGAGAACAAGGATGTGTGGCTGCTGGCCGCAGGCACCGGCTGGTCCCCTGTCCTCCCGCGTGGGCTCCTGGGCCTGTGGGCGGGCAGGGGCCCGGGCGCCCTGGCCGGGCTTGCTCGCTGGAGGGCCGGCGTCCCCCCGCCGGGGGCGGCCGTGGTTTCCAGGCATTGGGGGAGCAGGCTGCACACCCACCTGCTCTCAGAGCACTGGGGACCCGGGGAGAGGCCCACAGACCGGGACACAGTGGAGCAGGCGGCTGCAGGAAGGACGGGCCGTCAGGAGGCCCGGCAGGCGGCCGCAGCCGGATGTGACCTGAAGCCCCGGCCCGGCCCGAGGCACAGAGCGGAGACGGCGCAGGGAGAGCTCAGGCCCCAGCACGCAGAGCCCACGGTCAGACACGCTGCGGGACAGCGTGCGGCGAGGGGCTTGGGGCGGGGTGAGCCCGGCACACAGCGCGTGGCCCAGGCGCTTGGTCACGAGGAAGGGGGGCCGCAGCGATGCACGTGACGTGTGTCCCAGTCCCGCTGGCCGGGTGGCCTTGCCTGGGCCACCTGGAGCACTGCCGCCTCACCCTCACGGGGCTTGGGAACCAGCCCTTGCCCTCCGTTCACCTCGGCTCGGCCCTGGAGGCCTTGCTGCTGCGCTGGCCTCCTCCCACAGGGGGCGAGGGAGCCACCTGCATCTGTGCCAGCCGGGCGCTGGCCGGAGCACGCTCAGGGGCGTTTAACCCGGAGCCTGGGCGCTCTGCAAGCCCTCGAGGGCGTGGCGGGTGCGGGCGGCGGCACGAGTGGTGCTCCCCTCTTTCCCGGGAAGTGCGAGGAGCATCTCAGCACACGGCCTGTGACGCCTGTCTGCCAGGACAGGGACGCACCTCGGGGCCCCGCACCCCACACTCTGAGCTCCGGGGCCTGAAGTGACCTTCCAGGGCAGTAGGGTGGCCTGGCGCGGGCGCCCCTGCCCACCCTCTCCTGTCCGCACGGCTCTCTGTGCTGGCTGCAGGTGGCGGTGGTGAGGCCGCTGGTCCGACGTTCGTCACCCACGGCTGTCCACCTTCCATCGTCCACGGGCACCTCTGCCGCCGGGCCAGCCCTGCACCGGCTCCCAGGCCCCCAGATGCCACGAGTTCCAGAGGCTTCCGTGTGGCTCCCACAGGCAGCACTTCCCCTTCTGCTGGGCGGAGGGGCCCTCTGTGCCTTGCCAGCACTGCCCGAGGCCGCGGCGCTCGAGGCGTCTGCGCTGGCCAGTGAGAAGCTGTTTCCTCCGCCTGAGTTTTCCTCAAAAGCTCCCGAATGTTGGAGTGAGACTCCTGCTTAGTCCTTTGGCTTGTAAGATGCTTTGAAAATGTTTATTTAAAAAATAATGAAGGGAGATGTCTGTAGCAGTAATTGCCTCCAAATTAAAATGTCGCTGATTACGGTGGTGACCGCAGTGCCTGAGGTTCTGTCAGTACGGAGACTCTGGATCGACACACTGTGTGAGGCGGACGCGGGGTGGCCGGCAGTCCGAGGGGCACCCAGGTCCCAGGGCACGTGTTCTTATTCCACCACGAGGGTCTGCAGGGAAGAGCCAGCCCCCTACACAGGCCTCTGCCCAGAAGTGTCACGTCCCCTGGGCTGGACTGGCACCCCTCCTGGGGCCCCGATCTGGCCCGTCCTGTGAGATGGGCCCCCCGGGGTGGACAGCTGACCAGGCAGCTGGGCGGGCCTGTCTGTGCACGCAGGCAGGGCGACAGGTGTCGGGCCAGGTGCCGAGCCCCGGAGCCCACCCTGGACAGCCCCATCTCCCCGCCGGCTGTGGGCTTCCACGGGCACCCTGGACGGTGGGGGACAGGCCTCGCCTCCCGTGGTTGGGGACCCTCAGCTCAGTGTGACCCCTGCAGTTTCTTGGTTGCTGGTGAGACCCCGGTGTTTGTTTCCCGGGCCCCTGTCCACCTGACACTGACCAAGACTCGGTCGGTGGGGCCCGGGCAGTCCCATGCCAACTGACCCGTGGCTGGGAGTGAGGAGGAAGACCACAGGGAAACCCACGCTCCTCACTCACGGTGGCCCAGCCAGCCTGTCCCTGTGGCTGAGCACGGGTTGCCGCCTGCTCCCATGCTGGCCTGTCCCCTGGAGCACTCAGCCCCATCCTGGGGGGGGTGGGGGGCGGGCAGCCAGAGGCCAGGGGTACTTGGAACAGGAGGGCCACCTGGGCTCTGCATGCGGGGGTGCTCCCCAGGTACAGGGCCCCACACTCTGCATGGCCAGACTCCCTGTGAGCAGAGGAGCCCCCTCCTGGCCCCCGAGCCCCTGTGCCCTGAGGAGGGTGCCGGTGCTGCCCTTGGGGACCAGCGGGAACATTCTACAGGAGGCCACCCCCTGGCCCGCAGCCCCCTGCCCAGCTCAGCCCCCACCCGGGCCCCGCCAAAAGGCAGGAGGGGTGGTGGTGGGCAGGTGCCCTGCTTCTGGGGTGAGGAAGGTGGGCCTCTGAGTGGTACAGGATCCCCTGCAGCTGGGTCTTTGGCAGGAGTCACAGCTCAGCTCAAGGATTGGCGGGTTCCACCCCCCCAAAGGAGAAAAGGCTCCCGCCTCAGTGACGACAGGTTTCTAGCAGCTCAAGGCCCAGGGCCCCCTCCCACGTCTCCTCCCCGAACCCCCTCTAGGCCTGGAGCCCCGGGGAAGTGTCCCTACTGGAGACGAGGGTCCCAGCGGATCGGGTGCAGTCCCCTGGCAGCTGAAAGGGTGGCGCGTTTCAGGGGACACCCGTGAGGAGGCGACCCAGGAAGACCCCCGCAGGACAGGGCCAGCGGAGGTCAGAGGGCAGGGCTGCACCCCCAAGGAACTGGGAGGCTGCGAGCATCCACGTGACACCTCTGTGCCTGTCGCTTGGCAGGGATGCGGACTTCTGCAGAGCGGGGTGCCCCGGGAAGGCCTTCCTCCCGCGGGGCACAGCCCACCCGGGTGACGCGGCAGGAGGGGACTGCCCCCTTCCCCTGGGAACTGCCCCCTGACTGCTCCTCCCGGACTGCGCGCCGGTGCACCCCACCCCCACCCCTGCTCCGACCACCTCCAGGCGGAAGAGCCAGGCCGAGGCCTGGGGCGGTGTGACCTCCCAGTGTCGCTACCGGCTGGGACGCTCTGGGACTCACTCACCAGCCGAGGAGCCTGGACTTCCCAGGGAGGCGAGCAAGGAGGACAGGCTGGGCGCCCCCTAGGGACCCGCTCACAGCGCAGGACGGCTTTCGACGTCACTTCCGGGCCGGCGCCAGCCGGGGCCTGGTTCTGCCGCCTGCTCCTCACAGCATGCACGTGGCTGGGTACGCCCACTAGAGGGGGGCCCCTTTGGGCGCCAGGAGGTGCTGCCCCCAAGGGCAGTCCCTGCCCCTCTGTGTGGTGGGAGGCAAGGACCGCGGTTCTGTTTCTAGCTGGAGAGGATCAGCCTCCAGTGACCGCCAGCCACGGCCACCTCTGGGTGCAGGCAGGGCCCCCGCCCGGGTCAGGCCGGCCCTGAGCGCGCCCACGCGCCGTCGGCGGAGTCCCCAGTCTCTAAGGCGCCGTCGGGACCCTGTGAGCTGTCCTCGGTGGCGCAAGCAGAGCGCGTGCTGTCCTCGCGCAGGGACGGCTCAGGGCTGGCAGCCCGCTGCTGCTGCTCCTTGAGTTCGGAGTAAGAGCGCGAGAAGGTGTGGAAGATGGAGGTGACGGGGAAGGCCATGAGCAGGATGCCGCTGAGGATGCTGCTCAGCGCCACCACCTGCCCGGGCACGCTGCGCGGCACCATGTCCCCGTAACCCACGGTGGTCATGGAGATGACCGCCCACCAGTAGCTGGCCGGCACGCTGGAGAAGTCGCGGCCCGCGCCCAGCTCGCGCTCAGCCAGGTGCACGAGCGGCGCGAACAGGGCCATGGCCACGCAGAGGAAAAGCAGCAGCAGCCCGAACTCGCGCGCGCAGCGGCGCACGGTCAGGCCCAGCGAGCGCAGCCCAAGCGAGTGGCGCGCCAAGCGCATCACATAGAGCACGCGCAGTGCGCGCAGCAGCCGCAGCACCAGCCCCGCGCGCTCCAGCAGCTTGTTGCCGCCCGCGCCTGCGCCTGCCCGCGCTGCGCCGCCCGCAGCCAGGCCCACGAGCAGAGACACGTAGAAGGGCAGGATGGCCAGGATGTCGATGATGTTGAGCGGCGTCCGCAGGAAGGCACACTTGCTCTCTGCCTGCAGCGAGCGCAGCAGGAACTCGAAGGAGAACCAGGCGACGCACACGGTCTCCAGCACGAAGAGGTTGCGGCATTTGCGGGAGCACTCGCCCTGGGGAGGAGAGGGACACGTGTTGGGGGCTGGGAGGCCCGCGTCCTTGCTTCCCCAGGATGGGGGATGTCACACTGGGGTTGGGGGGCCCAACTCGCGACCCCAGCCCATGCAAGCCTGCCACTGGGGGAGCTCCAGGGATATCCACAAAAATGCCCCATTCCTGTAAAAAAACATTCCTTTGGAGATGAAATTTCCACAGGAGCTCAGCTGACCTGTTCCCCAGCAAATGTGGAAAGCATTTAAAAAACAGCCAGAGCTTCTGGAAATGGTTGAAGGTGAGCAGCAGATGGAACAGGCAATCAAGAAAATCTACGAGCCTTGGCTGGTGTAGCTCAGTGGATTAAGTGCGGGCTGGGAACCAAAGTGTCCCAGGTTCGATTCCCAGCCAGAGTACATGCCTGGGTTGCAGGCCATAACCCCCAGCAACCGCACATTGATGTTTCTCTCTCTCTCCCTCCCTTCCCTCTCTAAAAATAAATAAATAAAATCTATTTTAAAAACTCAATAAAAGAATAGATGAATAAAAAAAGAAAATCTACGAAAATTTGTGAGGGCAGGCAGGGGTCTGCCACGGGACCACAGCCTCCGTGCGGCACCCGAGTGGCTGTAGCCCGGGGTCCCTGCAGGAGAGAGGCTTCGGCAGCCAGGGCTGCCCCAGCTGCCTGCCGCTGGGCCGGACCCAAGCGATGGGGTGGATAAGAGCCGCTGAGCAGAGGCCGTGTGCTGAGTTGGGGGCCGCCTCACACTGGAGACGAGACCAGTGGGGGCCCTGCCGGGGCCACTCGGCCTCCTGCGCCTTGCAGGGCCCTGCACGTGGCTCGGGTCCCTCTGGGCGCTGAGAACAGACCCTCCCGCCTGACCAGCTGCCCGAGCCCTCTCAGCAGGTGATTTGTGGGGCCGGGGGGCAGCAGTGCCCTTCTGCCACCCAGAGACAGCGGCTCGAGACCCACCTGACGCCTCAAATGGAGACCAGGTCAGGGGTCAGCGGTGAGCTTTTCAACACCTTGGAACTCGAGGCCCCCAGGGCTGCTCCCCAAGTCCTGCCTCGTCTCTCCATGCCAGGCACCGCTGTGCATCACTGGTCTGCCAGGAACCGGGCAAACGGGGCCCCGCAAACCCCCGGGGACCGGCACTCGGGGCTGGGTGAGGAGTGCGTGGAGGGGAACTCCCCAGCAACGAGCTGTCCGAGCCCAGCACCGTGGCCGCTGCGCTGGTCATGGTCCCTGGGGTGGGCCCGGAAACCCTGCCCACTGACTGGCTTCCCCAGGGGGCTCCCGGACACGAGGGGGCGCCCCAGACAGGCCCTCGGCTTCTGACCCCCAGCACCACTCCAGACCCTCCTGGGCTGGGCCTCCCACCCCACACCCGGCGTCACCCCTGAACAAGAGCCCCACTGCGCTGTGGCTCTCCGTTGGCTTGGAGCTCAGCCAGGGAGGCGGCCTGGGGGAAGGGTCTCCGAGGCTGTGGCCATGGGGACGGGTGTTCCCCCCCGTCCCCGCCTGTGCCACACCCAGCAGAGCACACAGCCTCAGGAGACACAGTGCGCTTGTTGCTTCCAGGCGTCGGGCAGGTTTCGTTCCAGCCATTTCTGATGCCTGTTCGTTGCCTGAGGGCAGTGAAGGCCCATTGCTACGTAGGGCTGCCTGGGCCAGTGGAAACGCTGGGTCTGGTCCTGGGCCGCATGGGGCTGCGGGTGGGGGCTCTGAGCCCCAACATCGAGCCTGGGGGTCACCAGGAGGGGTCTGACTCTGCCATGCCCCGTGTCCAGCCGGGTCTAAGCTCCCAGAGGGTAGAGGGTGTCTCAGGACGGAGCAGGAGGACCTTTCTACCAGGTCCACAAGTTTTCAGTCAAGACCCAGCTGGGGCCCGTGGGGACTGGGACAGAGCTGGCTGGAAACCTGTGCTCCGCCCAAGGAAGGGAGGAGGGGACCCCCATCCTCGGGGTGGGGGCTGGCTGGCTGATGGGAGACGGGTGGAGGTCAGGCACGACACCAGGCCTCGGCCTGGTCAGAAGGAGCCTGATGACCTCAGCCCAGGGAGCCTGTGGTGGTGCCGTGACCCATGACCCACAGCCCCAGACACACACCCCCCCCAATGCCCTTCGTTTGGCCCCCATGTCCTGGCACAGGCACCCAGCCAGGTGCGGCGTCAGCCCCCCGGGGGCGTCGTGACCGCCGTGTTTGGGGAGAGGATGCTGCAGTCCCTGGGCCCCTGTGGGGGCTGGTCCGGGAAGGACCCCTGCCCACAAAGGAGGAGCTACCCTGGTGGGTTCTGGAGGAGACAGGCCAGTGGGAGCCCCCACACCCCTCCCCCACCCTCTCCTTAAGGACCAGCTGTGCAGGTAAATTGTAGGAAGCTATTTCTGGAACTTTTAACCCAGAAAACAGACCTTGATTTATCATAGTTTGACACATCTGGCCTATTTGGCCCAAATTGGGTCAGAAATAAATCTCCCTTCAGCTGGCTCACCAGGTTTTGACGCCCCCTCCCCCGACCAGACAAGTCTGGGTTTTGCTTGTGTTTCGCAGATGCCCACGACTTTCGTGAACCCGGCCAGGTGCCTGTATGCATTCGTCAAGGCCCGCACACCAAGCGCAGCTGCCCCCGTGGCCCTGCCGGCCCAGCTGGGCGTCCCTGAAACGCCGCCGGCCCGGCCAGCTGTGCAGCACGGGCTCTGCTCCCGGCTCCCATCAGACTGGCCACCAGGGTGGACAGAGCATCCTGCTGATGGCTGCCCAGCTGGCTGCTCCTGGGGGCCAAAGGGTTCCAGTTCCTTTTCGAATGTGTTTTCTTCCAGGGTTGGAACTGGGCCTCCTCCAGTGACTCGTGGCTCAAGAACTAAAGTCAGCTGCCCCCGAGGAAGCAGCTCAAGGACGCGTGAACTCCGAGCTAATTGCAGACACACGGGCCGTGGGGAGGGTTGTGAGTGCGTACCTGGCCCCCGTGCGGGCGGCGTCATCCACCGCCACAAAACCCACCCAAGCACAAGATGGCTCGGAATGTTCCACACCCTCGGGCTGTGGGACCCAGCTGCAGGCAGGTCCACACCCTCGGGCTGGAGCGCCAGCAGCGCCCTGGAGGGGCCATCCGCGCCAGGCCGAGGAGGCCTGGCCACAGACCGGCCAGGGATGGTGACAGCGGGCCGAGCTCGCTTTCAGAAAAGCAGCGTTTTGGAAACCACCGTTGGAAGGCACGGCCTCCCCATGTGGCATCCAGCTGGCACTGTTTCTATTTCCTAGTGAAAACACACGAAAGCTCAGGGCCGAGTCTCGTCCGTCACAGAGGCCTTGGGGCGGCTGGCGGCCGACTCCCGGGAGAGGCCTGGCCCCAGTGCGTGCCCGCCCCGGCCTTGTTCTCATTTCAGAGCATCAGAACTTCAGCGGCGTGAGCCCTGCCAAGCACGCGGCTGGTTCCAGGAAAGCAGGAGGTGGGGGCCACCAGCAGGGAGGCCTCTCCGGAAGCCAACAGTCGGGGAGGGCCCCAGCGGAGCCCCCGCCGCAGCCGGGCCGCGGGTCCTGGCTGGGGTCGGTCCAGGACCCCGAGGCCCCCAGGCTCTCCTGTTCTCTGTCCCCAGCGTGTCCGAGCCCCTTTGCTGCCTCTATTTTCTGGACACCGAGGCCCTCGTCTCCATCAGTCTGTCATGGGCACCAAACAGACCGGCGGGCGGCGGCCCACAGGATGCCGTGCAGACAGCGCCTGCAGACAGCACTGGGCCTGTGGGCCTGTGGGCCTATGGGCCTGTGGGCCTCCCCCACTGCGTGCTGAGGGACGGTTAGCTTCCCCGAGTGCCCAGAGGAAGATACTTCACTCATGCCACTGACTGCGAATGTATAGTTTGACTTCATTTTTCTTCTGTCAGCGTCTACCCTGGGCTTCGTGCCCTGACTCTGCATCCAGGACCACACGCTCCCCCCACAGGCCCCTCCCACCACCACAAGCTGCTTGGGGACCTGCTGCCCCCGTCCCAGGCCCCCCGCCCTGGCTCAGGTCCGCCCACAGCCCTGGGGGCGCACCCCAAGGCCTCCTGCACAGAAGGTCCGGGGTTCCGGGCCCTTCTGGGGCCGTGTCATCAGAGATGCTGCTCCACCTTCTTACCCACACCTTCCTGCTCCGTTGGGGTCCCCGGGCAGGGCCTGGGCAGTGGGTGCTCTGCGAGCTGCCTGCGGGGGTGTGACCGGCACCCTGGCTGTTCAGGGACAGCAGGACTCAGGCCTGGTGCGGGGCCCTCGGGCTCCAGCAGGGATGGCCCCTCGGAGCCCAGGCTGAGCCTCTGGGGTGCTCTGCCCGGCGAGGCTCCGCCTCTGGGAGCAGCCCCACCCACACCCACAGGCGGTGGAAACACTATCACCAGCTTCCCAGGCCATTGCCAAATGTCCTCGGGGAGTTTGATCGCTGCAATCCCGGTCCTGAAATCCACAACTAATTAGGCAGGTCCCCATTGAATCACATGAGCCGAAACAAAGAAAATCGACGCCCAGAGCCAGACCCCAGAGCAGTGAGGAGGGCGTGGCTGGTGGCTTCCCCGCAGCACGGCCCCACCCCGAGGGTCTGCCAGACCACCCTGGTCTCCCCACAGGCTGGCGCACAGCCTGCCCCGCCCTCCGCCAGGCCCTGGGGTGCTCAGCACCGTCTCCCAGCAGCGCCCAGGCCACCACCGCACAGTGGAACCCCAGAGCCGCTTGCTGGGACACCGGCCTCTGCCCCCGCCCTGCGCCGGCTCTGCAGGCCTCTCTTCCAGGTCCTGTGCACCTTCCACCACGGCCTACACCCGGGCATGACCTTGACCTCTCCTGGCCACGGCGGGGGGGGGGGGGGTGCTCAGCCCCAATGACCGTGCCGTTGTCAACAACCTTGACTGCAGACATGGGCTCTCAGAAGAGTCCACACTCGCTTCAGGTTACCCCCCAGGAACTGGGGTGCTCGGTCACACCTGGAGGCTCGCTGGTGCCTCCATCGAGGTGCCTGGCCCCGAACAGGGCAGGCAGAGCCGTGAACGCCGCAGACCCACCTGAGAAGACACCATGGGGCAGCAGAAAGTGGGAGTCTGGACACCCCCTCTGACTTGAGGCTTCCACAGTGACAGGGGCTGGGAGGCTGGGGTCCCTGGCTGACTGCAGGGGTGCCTTGCTCTCTGAGAGCTGGAGAGGGACCCCTTCTACTGAGCCTGGTCCTGCTCAGAGACAGGTGACAGACCACCACCTCCGGCTCTGAGTCCCCCCACGGCCTCCCCGCACGTGGCACCAGAACATCTACCTGTCTGCTGACTCCAACCTGGGACGTCGGTGATGGAGAGCCCTCCAGTTGTCACCGGTTCTGTGGCCACCCCTCCCCAGAGTCACCAGGAAGCAAGGCTCCCACCGGGTGTGGGTCTTGTTGAGCAGAGGGTGCATTTTGGGATCAGAAAATGCAGAATTTTTTGTGGATGCTTAGAGTTTTGGTGCTGCTACCCCCCAGACAACAGGGGACTGTCGAATGAGTCACCCTAAGGTCTGGGTCTGGGGACCCGTAAGCCTTTCCTTCCTCAGAAGCCGTGGCTGCTGCGTGGATGGCCCCGCCGTGGATGGTCCTGCTGTGGGCTGGCGCTGAGGAGGGAGCCCACGCGCTGCACTGGGAGGCGAGGACCTTCTCCGAGGGGGCGGCGTGGGCCCCGGGCATGGGCCCTGCAGGTCCAGCAGGTGGAGGCCCCGGCCCCGGGTCCCGTGCAGCTGGGGGCACACAGGTGCAGTGAGGATGGGGTGGGTGGCCTTGCTCCCCTCTCTCTGGGCTGAGGGGCACCCCGGGTGCCCACACACACAGAGAGAGGAAGCACACCTCGTTTGGTTGCAGAGGCCCTGCTGGGAGCTGCTGGGAGCTGCTGGGAGCTGCTGGGGACACAGGGCGAGTGCTTCACTCAAAGACGATGGGGAACTGGGCGTCCTCGCATCTTCCGGGCACCACTTCTGAGCTCTCCCGTCACGGCCAGGCGCCGGACAGGTCTGCACTCCGTGAGCGTTTCGGCTGTCCGCACGGAAGCCACGGTTCTGCCCCGGGGGCTCCGGAGTCCCAGTGCCGAGACCCCACTGTGGTTTCCTCGCCCTCAGAGCCTTCCTCACAGGTGGGGGGGACCCTGTGTGGAGGAAGGAAGGTCCCCCGTCCGCCTCGTGAGCACGGCGCAGGGGGTGGGGGCGCAGGGGTGCCCCGGGAGTCAGGGCGGCAGGCGCGCTCCGTGGCCGGGGGACGTGTCAGCAGCACCGAGACGCAGACGGGGCCTGTGGGACAGGCGGCAGGAACGGCTGCCTCACATGTCACGCAGCTGGGGGTGGCTCTCGAGGCCTGGGGGACACCCACGCCCCAGTCCCCTGACCTGTGGCTGTTTCACCTCCCTGGCAGGAGGGCCCTGCAGGTGCGATGAAGGTAAGGACCCTGAGTCAGGAGGGCCCTCGGCTACAGGGGCCCAGTGCGGTCAAGGTCCTCATGTGAGGGGGTCAGAGGGTCGGAGGCAGGATGGAGAAGGACCAGGGTGCCGCTCCGAGGACAGAGGAGGGGCATGGGGACACGTGGGAAGGGCGCAGAGGACCCTCGCTGGAGCCTCCCCGAAGCCAGCCCGCCGACGCCGGCACCTCCGCTCCCAGCCCCGGATTCACATGGACGACCCAGGGGCGCCAGGCACAGGGAGGGCCGCCCTCTGCACCCTGGTCTGGGGTTGTCTGGGGTGGGCAGGGCCTGCCTCCGGGTGGGCGGGGGCTCTTCCCAGGCAGCCTCTGGGGCCCGCCTGGGGCCTCCAGAAGGGGCCCTCGCACCCGTGACCAGCTGTGCGAGCTGCCTTCCAGGATGGGGCGCCGAGGATGACCCAGACACGCAGACACGGTCGCCCAAGGGTTCGGTGAGGGCGGCCTGGCCACCACCGGCGGAAGCAGCCCCGATGCCTCCCGTCCCGGGCCCTCGTCTAAGTGACTCCAGCTCCACACACTGTGTGGCGTGGCCGCTGCCCTGACAACCGGAATCTGGCGGGCGTCTTTTCAGCAGCAGAACCCGGCACTCGGTCCTGGCTCCCACGGCTGGAAGGAGCCCGAGGGGCGGACCTGCAAGCCCCAAACGAAGGTGCCCAGCCCAGCTCCTGCAGGTCACCTTCAAGTTCCACCTCCAGCCAGAGCGGCCACGCCCGAGGCCACGCCAGCTGACGGCCGGGGTCCGGGGGCACGTGGCCCGTCCCCTCCAGCTCCTCGCTGTCTGCACGCTGCGCGGACTCACCGGGGAGCTCTACCACGACCCTCAGCACCGGGGCCTGCCTGAGGGAGGGCTCCATGCGGAGCCGGCACCAGCCCCTGCAGCGAGACGGCCCCTCACCCCACCCTGGCCCCCCACCCCGGCCTCCATCAGGAAGCACAGGGCAACACTCAGCAACGTCCTTCAGGCACCCAGAGTGCCCTCTTCTCGCTGGGACTGCGCAAACCCCAGGCTTCCCTGACCGTGTGTCCTGGGCATGTAGCCGCTGCCTGGAGAGTGACATTCCCTGGAGGGTCCCACGCGGCATTCCCACAGGACACGGGGGATGGGAAGCCTACCCTGTGCTCAGAACAACGCCCCCTTCTGGACAAAGCCAGCACCTGGGTCGCCTGAGGCCCGAGCCTGGCCTGGCTGTCACACCTTCAGAGAAGTGGAGCCCACACCCTTTGGGTCCAAGACGCACAAGTCTTCAAGACACGAGGTGTTTCAGCCCCTTGCTGACCAAGTCTCCAGGGCCTGGGGGTAGGGGGTACCGGGAGGGGCCTGCTGCCGCGACAGCCTGGCTGAGCTCTGGACGTCCCTGTAATCCCAGCATCTCCTGGGAGCGTACAGCCCCGCAGCAATGGCAGCCTGCGGGGAGGGGGGCGCCCAGGGCGCACTAAGGAGCACACCACGGGGACCCAGCGCTTGTAGTTGCGCCACCAGCGACAGGAGGTTTCTGAGACCCCACTCAGTGGGCGTTCCCTAAACCCGGCTGCCTCCAGGCCCAGGCCTCTGCCCGCTAGCTGCACCCCGGGCCAGCCCGCCCCAGCCCGCCCCAGCCCGCCCCAGCCCCCAGCCCCGCCCGGTCCCGGCCCGCGCTCACCCGCTCTTCCTCCGCGCGGATGTCCGGCATGGTGCTCAGGCACAGGCCGACTGCTGTGACGGCCACAAAGGCCACGGACACGCAGGCGAAGAGTTTGCCGGCCAGCCCCGAGTGCGGGTTGTCCACCAAGTCGCGCAGGCGCCGCCGGCCACGCGCCAGCCGCCCCCGGGACCCCAGGGGGCGGCCGGGACTTCCCGGCGCCATGCGCTCCGCAGGTCGCGACCCGGTGCGCGCCTCGGCAGCCTCTTCCTCCCGGCGGCGCAGGCGGCGCAGGCAGCAGCGCTCCAGCCGCGCTTCGTCGATGCCCCAGTAGGCCAGCTCATCGCGGAAGGCCAGCGCGCACGGGCCGCGCAGCAGCCGCAGCTTGTCCGCACGCAGGAGCGCCACAATGGCGCGGAACGCGCAGGGGCTGCGGTCGAAGAAGAACTCGTCGCGGCTCACGTCGTAGTCGTCACACACGCGCAGCAGCTCCTCGTGTCCGCGGCAGGTGCGCAGGCGCTCGAGGCGCGCGAGGGGACAGCGGGCCAGCGCGGCCCAGGCCAGGCGCACCCTGCAGCCGCCCACATTGATGATGATGTGCCGGGCGTGGGCCCTGCTGCTGCCACCCGGGGGCTCCGCGGACCCGGGGAGCAGGGCCATGGCCCCATGCGCGGCGCCGTGGTCAGGAGGCTGGGCCTGTGAATGGAAAGGAGAGTGCGTTAGGCTGGGGGACTCCCTGGGTCCAAGGACTCCCTTCCGCCCGCCCTCTCATCTTCCCTCTGGCACTCCTGCCATCTGCAGGTGACCCAAATGGCGACCCCAGCCTTTCTCCCAGACCCTGGCTAAGTGGTGGTGGGCCTCAGTTTACCTCCTAGAGACTAGCTAACCTGCAGGGGGGTGGGGGGGGTTGGCGGGAGGAAGCCCGCCCTGCAGAGGCTGCCTCTGGGAATCTGGGCTGGGGCCAGGCACCAGCCTGTTACCTGACAGTCACCCAGTGAAGACAAAGGGGACAGAGGGCGTGTTAAACCTAAGAGACTTTGTCATCCTTGCCGGGGGCCCACGGTTTGACTCCTCCCACTCCATGTCCCTGTGGGGCCACGCACTAAATCGTAGACTGGGCTGGCCGGCTCCTTTTGTAGCCACATCAAACGTGTGCCAATTCTTGGCAGGCAGGAAACCCCATCACAATCATCAGTGAGAAGACTGGGTAGCCAGCAGAAGCTGGGTCTCCTGCTGTCAAGTTCACTTCCCCCAGAATATACGTGCACAAGCACAAATGTGACTGGTGTGCTACTCTTTAAGAGTCTAGGAAAGAGACTGACTGCTCAGCAGAAACAATGGACAAGGTGTCACCAAGTTCACGGGGCAGGGGAGGGAGAGTGGCTCTGGAACCTACGAGACGAGGGGCGACTTCACTCGTGACGGCAAAACGAAACACCTCAGATCCCACCCCCCGCCCCACACACACTCTTGCTGATGAAAGCGCCAGGGTGCGAGGTCCCTGAGAGGTGCTCATGTGAGACGGAGGGTGGGCTGTACCCCCGTGGCAGGCAGGCCAAGTCGGCAGGGGCCCTGCAGGAAGTGGGACCCCATCGGGCTGCACACTCAGGGCCAGGGTGTCCGGGAGAAACCTTGCCTGAGGGCTGCTCTCAGGTGAAACAGGTGTGTTTGCCTACTTCCTACCTGCATGGTGGGTTTGGGGTGGGAATGTCGGTCTGTGAAGCTCAGAGCTGAGAAAGGAGCCCCGTAAGTAGTAGTTTCCAGCGGGCGGCCTGTCTGAGGCGTGGGTGACCACCAGACCCACACTCGGAGTCCGGCAGGGCTCCTCCACAGGGCGACTCTGCCCCAGGGGCAACGGGCAGGGTCAGGACCGGGAGTGAGAGGCACTCGGTGCATGGAAACCAGGGCACTGCAGAAACCTACAGGACAAAGGGCTGGGACCCAGCCCCACACGTCCACGGGGCCACTGCTGAGAGGGTTCAAGCCTCGTAGGGTGCTCTCCGATGCAGCCCCAGCCGAGACGGCTTTACAGACCCGAATTGCGAGACACTCAGGGCAACATCCCGCGTGGGCAAATGCCAGCAGACACACAACTAACAGGATGAGGCTCCTAGGGACTTCAGAGAAAGAATCGTCAAAAGTAAAGACGTGACAGAAGGCGTTAAAGGCGCAGAGGAGAAATGACCTCCCGGGGAAGACGAGGAGGGCTCAGTGAGGAACGCGGCTCCCGGAAATGAACAAACAGCCCGGGGACGAGGCTGCAAGTCAGAGGGGAGGCGGGGCGGGCCGTGCCCTCGCCCAGGCGCGCCCCGGAGCCAGCAGGAGGCCGACGCCACACTCGGAGGAGACGGCGGTGTTATCTGTTGACCAGGAGTCCCAGAAGAAGGGGCGGCAGTCGACCAAGGAGGGAAAGGCGTTGGGGTTTGGGTCTGCAGTGTTAGGGGCGGTGCCAGACAGGCGGAAAGTTCCAGCCTGCTGCACTCTGGGGGACCGGGGAGCGTTAAGCCCTAAAATAAACGCATGCAGCGGAACCTGATAGGTTTGAACCTGGAGGAAGTCCTCACGCTTTTTCTCGGGGGAAGGTCGGGCCTGAGTGCCGACCGCCCTCGGCCGCCGGCCTCCCTGGCTGTCTCAGCTGCGCCGTTCCCAGCCCGAGTGCCCAGGACACTCGGTGCTTGGGGCGGGGACCCACCTGGCGGGTCACGGCGGAAAGCCTGGGTCCGCGCTCCTTTCCCAGGCAGATGCCCTCAGAGGCCCGAGAGGTGTCCTCCCCATCACCCCGCCGTCTCCATCCTGGAGCCCTGCCCGGCAGCCTCAGCCCCGTCCCTGGAGCTGTGAGCCCGCTGCCCACGCGCGCCTGCGAGCGGCAGCAGCCCCTGGCAGGAAACCAGCGCCCGCAGCGCCAGCAGGCTCCTGGAGAACGGAGCACACACACCGAGGGAGGAGGCGCCGGCTAGGGGCAGCCCCTCCTGGGGGCCGCGGAGGCAGCGCTGGCAGAGAGTGAGTGAGCCCGCGTGGGCATGTGTGAGTGTGAGTGGGTGCGTGCGAGCATGTGTGAGCGCACGCGCGGGCAGGGCCCCCTGGTCTCGGCGCAAGGGGAGCAAGGAGGAGAGCGCACACATCGGGAGTGGGGTCCCGGCCGGGAAGGCCCGCCCGCAGCGGAGGAAACACCTGCGCCGACTTTCCCATCCTGACCTTGGGCTTAAAGACAGGAACTGGAAGGGACTCCAACCTCTCTAGCGGACCGTGAGGCCCGAGACTTCAAAAGACGTGCAGAATTCTTTTCTAGGAGAACTCTCTCTCCTTTGCAGAAAGAGGCAGCATTCTGCGAGGAGAGGGTCAGCTTTAGAATGAGACCCTGATTAGCAGGGAGCTGGAGCCATGCTGCTGGGCCCCTGTCCCCCACATGCCCCATCCCCCACATCCTTCTGGCCCCCACAGACCACGACCCCCAACCCCCCCAACCCCCCCAGCCCCTGGGCCCCCTGTGCACACACCGGTGGACTCCCGGCTGCTGGGCAGGTCCTCCCTTTGCTCCCGGTCTCCAGGGGCCTCGCTTGCTGACTTGCTCTGCCCCCCGTCCCTTCCTTGTGCTGCTCCTGACAGCCCCACTGGTTTTGCTGGGATCGCTCCCCAGGTGAGCCGCTTGCTTCTGAGTCCCTGCCATGGGGTCTTCTCCGGAGGAACCTGAGCTCAGACAGTCAGGAGGTGAGTTTGGAGCCCAGGCAACCTGGAACTTCTCGGAAACAGGAACTCGCAGGAAGAAAGTGTGTGACAGAGAATGTCATCCACAGTCTCGCTCCCTCACTCATTCATTCGCTCACTCATTCTTTCAATAACTGATTCATTCACTCATTCATGCACTCATTCCCTCATTCATCCACTCATTCCTTCATTCATCCACTCACTCATTCATTCACTCACTCACCGATTCATTCACTCACTCATTTACTCATTAGTTCAGGCACCCACTCACTCATTCATTCATCCACTCATTCATCCACTCACTCATTCATTCACTCACTCATTCATTCATACACTCACTCATTCATTCAATCACTGATTCATTCACTCATTAGTTCATTCATTCACTCATTAGTTCATTCATTCACTCATTAGTTCATTCATTCACTCATTAGTTCATTCAGCCACTCATTCGTTCATCACTCACTCATTCATTCATCACGCACTCATTCATTCATACACTCATTCATTCATTCAATCACTGATTCATTCACTCATTTGTTCATTCATCCACTCATTAGTTCATTCATCCACTCATTCATTCATCCACTCACTCATTCATCCACTCACTCATTCATCCACTCACTCATTCATCCACTCACTCATTCATTCAATCACTGATTCATTCACTCATTTCTTCATTCAGCCACTCATTCATTCGTCCACTCATTCATTCATCCACTCACTCATTCATTCATTCAATCACTGATTCATTCACTCATTCATTTACTCATTAGTTCATTCATCCACTCATTCATTCATCCACTCATTCATTCATCCACTCATTCACTCGTCCACTCACTCATTCATTCGTCCACTCATCCATTGACTCATTCCTTCATTCATACACTCATTCATTTGCTCATTCAACTCATTCACACACTCACTCATTCACACACTCATTCATTCACTCACTGATTCATTCACTCATTCATTTACTCATTAGTTCAGTCAGCCACTCATGCATTTATCTGTTCACTCATTCATTCGCTCACTCATTCATTCTCTCACTCATTCATTCATTCTCTCATTCATTCGCACATTCATTCATTCGCACATTCATTCATTCGCACATTCATTCATTCGCTCACTCATTCATTCATCCAATCGCTCATTCATCCATCCACTCATTCATCTCTCATTCATTTACTCAACCAATGATATTCAAGGCCTCCTGGGCATCATGCCACTCAGAATAGAACTTCCTCTTCCTGCAGCAGCAAAAAGGAATCTAATGACTCTATCTTGGGTCTTTCGTGAGAATTAGTACTATTTTACGATATGTCTGTGTGGCCCAAAATGCCCAGTTTCTGCCCTGCCCATCATTTTCTGTCCCCAGGCAATTTAGGGAGCTCAGGTCACTTGACGTCCAAGCTGGGGCACTTTTTGGAAGGAACAGGGTGCTCGTAACAGTGACACCAGGAGACTGGAGTGCACGGGCTGTCCCGCAACCGAGAGGGATGCCACCCTGACGCAGGGTCCCGTGGGTGCCGTGCCCCGGGGGGGCAGAGGGTCAGAGCAGAGCCCTCTGGGAAGGGCCAGGGCCGTCGCCGCAGGCCCACGGTGGCCTCGAGTCTGTTTCCCACCGGGTCTCGAGACAGCTTGCTCAGGCCGCTCGCGGAGGGAGGCCGCACGGGCCCCAGGCGTCCCCGCTCACCGGCCAGCCCAGCCCCCAGAAATGAGACTGCCAGAAGCAGAGGGTCCCTGGGCACCACCCAGCCGCCCAGTGAGCGGTGTGGGGTGGAGGTGGCGGATGGGGGGCGGCAGGGACAGCCGCTTCGGCGACCTGCTGACAGGACTTTCGAGAGTCCCTTGACCTTAAGGTGCACACGGCCCCTGGGCGGCTCGGCGAGGCGCTTGCAGGACGCTCAGCGGGAGCGCAGACGCGGCACTGGAGAGCGAGGCCGAGGCGGTCCACACCCCC